ATGACAAGCAACTATTCAATCTCCGTGCAGCCTTGATGTGGACAATAAGTGATTTTCCCGGTTTGGGAACTTTGTCTGGCTGGAATGTGCATACTGGGTTGGCCTGTCCTGAGTGCAATTTTGATTCTGTGCCATGTCGCCTTCCACACAGTCGCAAGTGGTGCTTCATAGGACATCGACGGTTCCTTGATTCCAAGCACAGACTTAGATTGCAACGGATTCGCTTCGATGGGAAACAGGAGAAGAGAGATCCTCCTGTTACTTTGTCTGGTATGGATATTTTGCGGCAGTTAGAAGATGTTCATATCGAGTTTGGTAAGAGTGTGGATCCCGAACGATTGGGACGACGATCTCGTGGGACATCTGATACGCAACCTATGCAATGGCGGAAGAGAAGCATATTTTTCACTCTTCCTTATTGGGAATCTAATTTGCTACGACACAGTTTGGATGTTATGCACATTGAAAAAAATGTGTGCGATAATGTGCTATATACGTTGCTCAATGAAGCTGGAAAGTCCAAAGACCATCTCGCAGCTAGAAAAGATTTACGGGCCTGGGGAATTCGTGAAGAGGCTTGGCCTGATGAAAACGACAAGTTTCAGCCAGCTAAATTCACCTTGACAAAGCAGAACAAGGATATCTTCCTCTCGACGTTGAAGAACATAAAAGTACCAGATGGATATTCTAGCAACATCTCAAGGTGTATCGATCTGCAGGCTCGAAAGGTTACTGGGTTGAAAAGTCATGACTCTCATGTTCTTATGCAACAGTTACTTCCATTGGCCTTGAAAAACACACTTCCTTCTGATGTATCGGTGGTTTTGGTAGAATTATGTTCATTTTTCAAGAAGTTGTGTGCGAAGGTCTTGGTAGCGGAAGAGCTTGATCAGCTGCAAAATAAAATTATTCTTACACTTTGTCACTTGGAGATGATATTTCCTCCATCATTCTTTACTGTTATGGTTCACTTGACTGTCCACCTTGTTCGAGAAGCAAAGGTTGCTGGCCCAGTTCACTATCGATGGATGTACCCTATAGAGAGGTACTAGATTATCTTTTATTCCCGCCTCTTTAAATTTCACATTGTTCTTTCATTTACTCGTAATTATTAATGCAATTTTAACTTACAGGTACTTGGAAAATTAAAATCATATGTTAGGAATAAGGCATGGCCTGAGGGGTCAATAGCAGAAGGTTATTCCGGAGATGAGGTCCTAACTTTCTGTTCGAGGTACTTTGATGACATGGAGACATCTTTTAACCGCCCGCGTCGCGTAGATGATTCTCCTCCCGGTCCTTCCACGTCAACTTTATTTCCTCCTGTTGGGAAACCAGTTGGAGGATATGAATTCTTCAGACTCACTCCTACAGAGAAACTCCAGGCACACAGACACGTTTTGATAAATTGCAGCCAAGTTGAACCCTTCATGCAGTAAGTATATATATCATATAAGCTCACTAGCTTTTACACTTTATATTTGTTTCTTATTGACTCTTCTAACAAATTACACTTTACTATAGTGAGTTTAGGAGTTATCTCAGCGTCAGCTACGGGGCCGTGCGCGTTCTGCTGACATTGATAAAAGAGTCCACAAAGAGTTTCCCAGTTGGTTTACACGTCGAATACGTAATGACAACAGCCCATACACAGATGAATTCAGAGCTCTTTCTCTCGGTCCGTTAGACCATGCACGGAGGTTTACCGCGTACAATGTCAACGGCTTCAAGTTCTGTACGGTTGCACGTGATCAGGGATTGCTCACACAAAACTCTGGAGTTTGCGGGACATTCGGAACGAGATGTTATGCTAGCAGTAGTGATGGCGATATGCGCTTTGGAGGCGTCACTTACTATGGAAAGCTAATTGACATTATTGAGTTGACTTACCAGCTTTTCACCGTGACACTGTTCAAATGCTCCTGGGCAAATACGACAACTTCACGGGGACTCGCTACTGACCATTTGGGCATCACCTCAGTCAATTTCTCAAGACTTATTCATACGGGGGCATCTGAAGATGATGAGCCATATATCCTTGCTTCTGAGGCACACCAAATTTACTATGTCGAGGACGAGAAACATAAAGACTGGAATATGGTCGTTCACCTCAAGCCACGGGATCTTTACGATATGGGTGATGGTGACATTATTTACGACAGTGAACCCTTCCAACCCTCGAATTTTGAAGACTTCTTTCCTCAAGGAGATGATAATTTGCCACTTATCAGGTACACGTCTTTTCTTAAATTATTTAAATAATTAACTACTAATTACTAATTTTTTCCAAATACAACATAAATTTAACAAATTTTTTTAAAATATGTCCTTTCAGGCCGGATGATGATGGAGAGTAGCAGCATCCAAAATAAATTATTTAACAAATTTTTCGTCCATAAATACATATGTATAAATTAAAATTCGTAAAATTTTTTTAAAAATAAAAAAATTTTCATTTGTAGCGGTTCATAACCGCTACAAATTTTTTCACGAAATTGTAATTTGTAGCGGTTATTAACCGCTACAAATTACAATTTCGTGAAAATTGTAATTTGTAGCGGTTAATAACCGCTACAAATTACAATATCGTGAAAAAATTTGTAGCGGTTATGAACCGCTACAAAATACATACCTGTAAATTAAAATTCGTTCAGATTTTAAAAATAAAAAATACTAAATTTCTAGCGGTTAATAACCGCTACATATGTAACCGCTACTAATTACTAGCGCTTTATATACGCTAGAAAATGAATAACAGCTACAAAATGTTATAAAACGCTACAAAAACACCGCTACAAATGTGTCGCTGATCTCTATAAATACCATATCTTCTCTACATTCATTTACTCCATCTCTTTTCCTTCCTCTCCTATTCTTCTTCATAATTCTCTCTTTTTTTCTTACTATCTCATATTGTGGTTTTTTTCTCTTTACTCTATGGTAAGTGAATTTTATTTTATAATTCATTGTATCTTTTATTTGTTTTTATTTAAAATTTACTAACATATTTATTTCTCCTTTCCTTTCAGATTTTTCTTCTCCACATTTGTCATGCCCTCCTCAACTGATTCAAATACTCATCAACTTAATACTATAGGTTCAATATTCCAAAATATATCATCTTCAATTCAACTATCTTATTAAATATTCAATTAAATTATCTTGTTAGATTAAATTCACTTCTTTTAACACATTCATAATTTAATTACATATTTTTTATTACAAAATTTGAATATATAAAATGTAACATATAACTAATTATACAAATTAACAAAAATTCTTCAAAATAATTTATTTAATGGTTTTTAAAATTATAATATGAAAAACCATAAATTTTTTTTTCTGGCACGGTAAACATTTCTAGCGGTTCAGAACCGCTAGAAATATTTCGTCAAATTTAAATTTCGCGCCAAACTTTCTAGCGGTTAAGAACCGCTAGAAAATTTTCCCGCCATTCTAAAAATTCAATTGGTGTGAAAATTTAATTTCCCAAACATTTCTAGCGGTTCTATAACCGCTAGTAATTTTCGCGCTACTGAAATTATTTAATTCCCGTTTAGCAGGTTTCTAGCGGTTACAAAACCGCTAGAAATTTTTTCCGGGGAGACGTTTCTAGCGGTTATAAAACCGCTAGAAACGTTTCCCCGGAAAAAATTTCTAGCGGTTTTGTAACCGCTAGGAATGTGTCTCCTTCAGATAATTTCTAGCGGTTCGTAACCGCTACAAATGTTCTATCGTTTTGACCATGATGTGTAGCGGTTGAGATAACCGCTAGAAATTTTTTCTAACACCTGTTTTTCTAGCGGTTTCGTTAACCGCTACAAATGTTATTTGTTGCGGTTAAAACCGCTAGAAATGTAACACCATAACCGCTAGAATTAACATATTTTTTTGTAGTGTATGTGGTTGTTAACATTATTATATGCATAATCCAAATTCAGACCGCGGCCTAGATATGATTATAATGGACCTAATAAATTAGAAGGTGGATGGACTTTAAGGAAGAGACATTGAAATTTGAAACGTACAAGATAAATAATTTTTTTCTTTGAAATTTTTTTAATATCTAACAGACAATTCTATTTTATCCTTGTGTGATGATCATATAAATACGCAGTAAATTTTATTTATAAAAAATAAAAAATTACGTACAATACAATGCATGTAATTGTTTTTTTTAAAGCTATATTCTACTTTATTTAAGGAAAAATCTCAGAAAAATACCACTTGAATTTCAAAATCACAAATAACAAATTCTACAAAAATATGTTTATTTACTTTTTCAACTGTAGTAAATTGTTATTAAAAAATAGGAAACGAAACTGATTTGAGATTTTAAAATTCAAATAATTTATTTTTGAAATTTTACCTTTATTTAATCACTGTAAGGGTGACGAGAGAAATAATTGTACCTGAATGTACTCATCTATTCATTTTTCAATCATATCTTTATTTACAAATCATTTGTATAAATCAATAAGATGTACTTTATTTAGATTAAAAATAACATGCTTAGGCATGTGACTCCGGATTCAACTTTGAATAATTTTTATGATAAGTGGCTAGTTTTTGAAGAATTCCATAATATAAAATTTAATTATAATACATTACAAAGATGTGTGTGGGGGGGGGGGTCTGGTTTTTCGTATTAGGCTGCATATGCCTTGAAGAAACATGATAATATCATTGTTATGACCATATACATTGAATATATATATATATATATATTTAAAAGGTATGGGATGGGACGAAATACTAGTTCTGGATATACTTAAAAAAATTGAAATGAAAAGGTACGTGAGAAAGATGCAGCAGAGGTGAGGGGAACGGAAGAAATTAGGTGCATGCTACTCTCAGTGGAAAACTTGAAGTAATCCATCACTTTTTATCATTGAACAATCTAAAGTGTGCGCGCACCAGTCAAGAAAGGGTTGCCTAATATAATAATATTAATGGCCAACTACTTCCAGTGAAACAGGAAATGCAGAAAAATAACTTACTTTTCAAACATGAACAGTATCCCACAGCACGCCACCAGCTCAAAAAGCTCACCTATAAAGAGGACATGTTCCTCAATACTTTCTCATTCACTCTCGCCACAACCAAAAACCTTATCAGTTAACTATCCCTTACCTTCATACATATTTCTGCTATATATCTTCACGGGCTTTAAGTTTCTTAGCAGCTAAACATGGCAGTGTGTGAGATTCCTTCAGTGGTGCTAGGCTCTTCCACCGGCGAAGTGAAGATGCCGGTGATCGGGATGGGGTCTGCGCCAGACTTCACCTGCAAGGTTGACACGAAGGAAGCCATTGTGGAAGCCATAAGGCAGGGCTACAGGCACTTAGACACCGCCGCCGCCTATGGCTCTGAGGCTGCCCTCGGAGAAGCCATTAAGGAGGCTCTTGAGCTCGGCCTCGTCCCATCCAGACAACACCTCTTCATCACCTCCAAGCTCTGGTGCACCAACAATCATCCTCACCTCGTTCTTCCTGCTCTCCAGAACTCTCTCAGGTCTCACTTCTTTCTTTGACATATATGTTTCAGGGTCACAAATAATAATGGAGGACTTAGTTTGTATGTATGTGTATATGTTGTGGTGCAGGAATCTTCAGCTGGAGTACTTGGACCTGTATCTGATTCACTGGCCCATCTCTGCTAAGCCAGGCAAGTTCGCGTTCCCTATAGAGGCGGAAGATGTGGTTCCTTTGGACTTGAAGGGAGTGTGGGCGGCCATGGAAGAGTGCCAGAGGCTGGGCCTCACCAGAGCCATCGGGGTCAGCAACTTCTCCGTCAAGAAGCTCGACCATCTGCTGTCATTCGCTAACATTCCGCCGGCGGTGAATCAGGTGGAGATGAACCTGGCATGGCAGCAGAAGAAGCTGCTGGACTACTGCAAATCAAAAGGGATAGTGATGACAGCGTTCTCGCCGCTCAGGAAAGGAGCGAGCAGGGGACCCAACGAGGCCATGGAGAGTGATGTGGTGAAGGAGATAGCAGAAGCGAGGGGCAAGTCCAGCGCTCAGGTTTGTCTGAGATGGCTCTACGAGCAAGGCGTGACCTTCGTGCCAAAGAGCTACAACAAAGACAGGATGAACCAAAACCTTCAGATCTTTGACTGGTCGTTGACTGAAGATGATCATAAAAAGATAAGTCACATTAAGCAGCAACGTTTAATCCAGGGACCCACCAAGCCTCAGCTTCCCGATCTCTACGATCACGAAATATAAACCATAGATGATATTTGATTGATTAGGATGCCATCGATTCTGCAGAACACAAAAATAAAAGTCTCCCCTTCAGTGTATTCGGTCAATCGATTCTTTATTTCTGGGTGGCGTGCGTGTTTGTTCTGTTTATCCCTTGTCATGCTTATTTTGAGCTGTGCTGTTTCGGAAGTCGGGGATATGAATACTAAACTATGAATACATTACATGTGCTTCTTAATATAAAACATTATTTAACTTTTATTTTAACTCTTAATATAAAATTTTAATTCATTTTGTTTTTTATATTTATTCATTTTTTTTAAAGTAATCCTTCTAATAATAGTTGTTTTAACCAATACACTTAATTAGCAAAGATATTTTAAGAAAGACAATATATATTTATTATAAATAAATAACTTAACTTATTTTTTTAATCTACTCAAATTAGTTAACTAACTTTTATATTTACGACCGGAAATAGTATTACCTAAAGTTTATTTATCTTTCCTCGCCGTGATAATACTGGAAGCAGAGAAGAAGCAAATAAACGATCATCACTAGCTTCTGTGAATATCTGCGGCAAAAGCTCAGTGTCTTGACACTTGAGTCATTAAACATGAGATTACTCACAACAATAAGTTCAGTGAAGGTTTCCTTAGTCCTAACCTATGAATGTGCGCAAACTAAGAAATACTACCTCTCCTAGCCTTAAATATAAAAACTAGTTGACATTTCTAAATATAAAATATTAATTCACCTTGTCTCTCAAATTTATATTGTGTTCTCAAAAATATCCATATTGATTGTAAGATATTTTCATCTAAATATAGTTTTAATGTACATGATTGAATAAGAATAATTTGAGAAAGTCAACACATATTTATTATAAATAACTAAGTTAACTAACTTCATTAATATTCTAAAATTAGTCACTTAGCTTTCATATTAAGGGACCGGAGGTAGTATACATAGAATGCTTTGCAAATCCGTGATATAAATAAGGATGTCATTTTATCATCTCCGGAGTTCCTCTAATCACCGTGGTTCGTTGGAGTTTTCAGTCCGTGTTTGCATCTGCCATTTGCGTTCATCAAAAAACAGAGGACTCAATGACTTGACCAGAACAGGATCAAAACAGAGAAAATAAAAGGGCTTATTGAAATTGCAAACCTTTTTGGAAAAACGACCCTCAATTAATTACGGACTGATACCATAGCCCATGCTTTCAAAATTTAACATCATGTTTTATAATTTCTTTCCTCGATATGACAAGTGAGTTTCGTGTGTGCGCGTGCGCGTGCGCGCACGTGTGTGTTACTTCCCCTGTATAACTTCTCCAAAAAGCTTTAGAGAATGAGTTATACCTGTAGCCTGTAGGTAATACTGATGGTAACCTCGATAACAACACACGTTTCTAATTTCTTCACTATCGGTGACACGAAATTAAATACGTCCTCGTCAAAAGTCTCAATTACAAACTTCACAATCTAAAAATTTGAGCACATACAAGCTAAATCAACTTAACCATACTCGATCGAGAAGGATAAGTTTGATATGTCATTACTGTTATTTTATATTTTCTTGCTTCAAACTTTAATCCAGCAAAATTATACTAAACCGCAACATTACAGATTTACAGTTGCTTTAAAATTAGACATTAGTCAACAGAAATCCAGACCCTTGGAATATTGATGGGCAACACCAGGCGATCTGTGACAAAAACTCGTGGAATTTTCTCCAACTTTAACAAGTCATTAAACAAGAGAGTACACACAAGTCACAACCACGAGTTCAATGCACAAAAATATATACCACTGACAATTTTTGTGCTTTAGCTTTTTGTAGATAGAATGATAATAAAGATAGATTACTCCAATGAAATATGCGGCACCATCATCCTCTAATACACATTTTGCTAAGGATAGGTTCCATCATAGTAAACAAACCTACTTTTCTTTTTCATCTTTCACGTTTTTAAGGCGCTCTTCATCGCAACTTTCAACAAAATATTCTTCATCGCTGGTATAGCAACTCTCAACAAAATATTCTTCTTCATCACTGTCATCCCCACCTTCATAATAATACTCTTCACCATCATTTGCAAAACAAAACTCCTCTCCATAGTCATCATAATAACACTCTTCACACTCCTCATTATCACTTTTCCCATTTTGTTGCAGAAGTGAACAGTCTCGTGGTTGCTGACCGCTTAACCTCTCTTGAATTTGATCCCTGATTGCTGTGCCCTGGCATGGACCCGAGTCATAGCAGAAAATAAGAAAAAGAAAAAGTTGTGAGAAGTTACCTTTGAGTCTGCAAGCATATCAATAGTAACATAACATACTTTAATTTGTCTGCATAAATTAACTCACCATCTTGTAGCAACCTTCTTCAAACCTCTCCAGAAATCCAGCAACCCAGCGATCAGCATTTTCCAGCCACTCATATCTATGCATAGTAGCAGTCTTCGCAACACTTTGAATCTGGAAAATATAGCAGCAAATACAGATTCCTATAACGTTCAATTTCCAAGACAACTATAGGTAACAAACCAGAGTTCTCTGTTTTTCAGTAATCTTTATCACATGCACACGTAAGATTCTTTACTTATTGTCTTTCATCTCACAATCTTGCCATCTCATTAATTTCACATGGCTTTAAAGTATTATTTCAACTTAGTTAATCTGACATTATGGGTTAATGACTTGAGTTGATATACCTTTTCACCAACTTTCTCTTGCTGTTCCTTTACTTTCTCTTGAAGGTTCTTAAGCCTCCTATTCACCCTTAATCGCTTTTCCTGTTAATATGAACGCAAGCACAACAAGTAAAATCCTCCAACAGATGTGAGAATGGTGTAAATGAAAACAATTATTCTTTTACCAGACAAGTACAATCAATTCATTTATACAAAATAAGGATTTGAAAAAAATATGCCAGCTCATACCTTCACATAGCTCACACCGAGGTCCTTCCTCGAGTACCCACGATCTAAGTTACGCAAAACATAGTTGTTATAATCTTTGACAATCCTCATTATAATGTCTGACGTAGACACCCCTTCTGTTCGTTTTGTTTCCTTAAATTTCCCGATGGATTTAACCTGCAAACAAAAATTGATTCACATAAATTATACCTGAAAAGAGAAACTTCCATCAAAATAAACAACCAAGGCTGATAGAACATTTTCTTGCACATACATATTCATAAACATCGTTCCCAGCCCCACTGGCATCAGCATAGCTGTGAACAATTCATCGGCAAGTGCAAAAGATTATACTATGCATTCAAAAGCTTCAACCATTACTCCACCAATGCAAATACAGAGTTAAATATTATCATCATTACAAATCCAATAAACACGTACGAACTAGAGAGAAACGGACAGGGAATTTTCTTACGGAAGAGCATCATGAGCCACATAGTCGATCTTGTGCTTGTCAATAAATTCTTGTGTCATAACCCATGGTGCATCTGGAATGACTTCATCCACCCACCTGCTCAAATTTATTTCTCATTGTTATGGTAAGTCGCAAAGAGCTGTTTATTTACCCAAAAGAAAGAAAGAAAGAAAGAGTTGACATAAGTATCTCACTTGCAGTGCCGAAGCGATTCATAACGTTCAGCCTCTGTCATAACAGTTTTGCCCTTGTATTTGTTGGTGACTTCATCGTTGCAACATCCAACAAGCAAGTAGGTATTCGGAAATCTAAAATTTCCGTGAAAAGGCCAGAGAGTTAGCCAAACAATATGAAGATACAATTTCATGATTCCAAGCTTATATTTCATTGCAAAAGCACGAACTGACATCTAAAGAGGAAAAGAACGTACTTTAGGACAGCGATTTAACTAATTTTTCAGAACTTTAGAGAAAATGTCCCCTTTCTCAGAAGCACACTTAAACTTTCTCAGGTCATCTAAATAGATATGCTATTAGTACTGCATCCGTTCACATCTAATTTGATTATATTGTTTTGGACTTGCGCTCTGAATACCGTCAATATCATTTTAATTTTAAACAATCACATGGAAAAATTCAACATTAACTTTTCTCACGATGGAAACGTCAATAGTTGCGCACTCATCACTTAGGTTACGTGTCTGGGTCAACCTGCAGGTTGAGTGACCAATATCCAAAAATAAATAGCAGATTACATTTGTTATTGTCAATAGTTAATACAGGCCAAGAAAAAAAGGATGACAAACATAGCATTCACTTAGTGAGTTTAGCTCTGTATTTGTATTTTATGTAATCTTAATGCAGGAAATAGGCTAGCTAATGCAAGGAAGGAAGAAAAGGCAGTGCGACTCGCTCCTTGTGCAAATACATGAATCTCAAAAGATCGACAATGTATGATGCATCGCGTTTCATTTCCGCATCAGTGCTAAATGAGTCTAATTAATGTCAAAACCTAATTTGTGAAAAGTAAAATCGAAAAGGACGAAGATAGATGCGTACGATATCTTGGCTTGCTCGAGGGAACGAGCATGGCCGAAGTGGAAAAGGTCGTAGATGCCATCGGCGTAGACGCGAACAGGACGGTCTTGAGGAGGAGAAGACGATGGATTGGAATCGCTAGGCTTCTCGGTCGCCATTTCGAATCACGCAACCTCTGATCTCATTCTTGCGCGTCTCCAGCGGCATGCTCTTGTTAAACGATTTATTTAGCATCCTTCTTCTTCCGCCACAAGCCCTTAGTAAGTGTCGTCGTTTGAACCGCTCAAATATGCCGCTGGCAGCTCGTTTTTCTTCTCAAATAGTTTTTTTTTTTTTAAATGGCAGTTCATAAATATACTACTTTCTTATTTATTTTCTTCTTACTGTTGGTTTTATCCCTCAAATTTATTTAATTTAAATCAAATTTAGTTTATCCTTCAAATTTATTTAATTTAAATCAAATTTAGTCTTTTAATATTATATAAATTTAATTTTTGTTTTCAAGCTTTCAGTTTAAAAACATATTGAAATATTCTGTTCGGTTGTGTGCGTTTTTAATTTGAAATATACATATATATATATATATATATATATGCGTTTGTTTTTCAAAACAAATCATTTACATGCATGCATGCATCCAACTGTACGAAGTCGTCCTTCTCCTTCACGCGGAGAGTATTTCCCTGACACTCGCATTTTCTTTCTTTCACTCTCTGAAGTCTCAATAAATTCACAGATACAGAGTGAGGAAGAGACTGTGTGTGGGAATTGTTCTGTGATTGTGAGTGGATTAAGAAGAAGGTGGACCAAAATGTACAAGGCGAAGCTGCAGGAGCTCTGCCACCAGAAACGGTGGGGCTTGCCCAGGTACACCGCCATGAAAGACGGTCCTGATCACATCCCAAGCTTCAAAGCTTCAGTCTCTGTCAATGGCCTCACCTTTGACTCTCCCGGACCCTGTTCTTCTTCCAAACTTGCCCAAAACAAAGCCGCCATGCTCGCTTTCCTCCATTTCACTTCTTTTGATCCTACAGGTACCCCCTTTATGTTCTATCTTTTAGTCAAATGCTCTTCCTTAACACAATTTTAATCTTGCTCTGTTCGTGTGTTTAATTGTATCACTGACATGAAGGCACTAACTTTTGAGGTCTCTCTTCTACATCTACATATAATTACGCATATAATTAATTACATTCTCGTGCAACCTGCAGGAACAGGTTGTCGGCTCTTGATCATCTTATTCAGAATATATTCTAGATCGATCTTTCAAATTTTTGTCATGTCTGCTTTAACCCCCCTGTTTCTAAGTGATTGTTCTCCGTGTCAACATTTATTTCTGTTTAACAATCTAATTATGCTTACAGATTCTAATCAACTGAGTAAAACCCAGTTGCAGAAGTATGATCAAAGGAAAAGTTTTGATTCGGCCGCTTTTACTATTGAACGTGGAGGCCTCCCTCAGGTTCCTTGCATGAAGGTTCCAAGCTCAGTTGATGGCCAATGTTCTGAGAGGCCAGCAACTTTCAGCACTTCGCAGGAGGCAGAGCAGGCTGCTGCGAAGGTTGCTTCGATGTCACTGTCACTTGACAGCTCCAAGAAGCTAAGAATGCTTGTAATTTATGCAATGGCTCCTATTAAAATCCTTCTTGATGCTTTGTGAACATCAAATAGTTATCTAGATGTAAGATGTTAGGAACAATTTCTTCACTTTTTGGAGGGCTTAAAAATATTAAAAAATAAGAGCCAAATTTGAAAAAAAGTTTTTGATGAAATTTCAATACCTTAAATTAAAAAAAAAAAAGGTTTACTATTTCTGGTACAAAGAAAGCATATCTCAAGGGTAAAACAGAAAGGCCTAAATAGGAACTAGACGTAGGACCATATCTTGTTCTTTAAAAAAGTCTGTGTACGCTAAGATTTTTTCTGTTTAGAAATTTAAGCTTATGTTCTCTCTTAATTGATAATTATGATCCATTGTAAAGAAAAAGTTTGATTCCAAACATGTTTGGCTTGTGTATATGGTTAACTCATTTACCAGCAGTAATAATAGACAAAGGTCCGAGAAGTTTGAGTGTTTGATCTGTATATGTTAAATTCATTATGAATGAATCTTGTTTTGCATCTTTATCCAGGGTGACTCTGCTCTCTACAAGAATTTACTGCAGGAGTTAGCTCAGAGGGAAGGCTTTTGCAAACCAACGTATAAAACCATGAGATCTGGCACAGTTCACATGCCAACTTTCTTTTCTATTGTGGAGGTAGAAGGAAAGGAATTTCATGGGGAGCCAATGAAATCCAAGAGACAGGCAGAACAGGACGCAGCGAAGGTTGCTTTCATTGCTCTGAAAGAGTGTAAGTTGATTATACTTAATTAATGGTTGGCATGTTTAGTTTCAGACTAAGGCATAAGAACCCTTTTGAGATCTGATGTTCAAAATCACCATAGGATTGGCTTGATCCCTATCTTCATGGACTTGAATTAAGTGCCTTCTCTTTCTCTTTAAATTATAATTACTTCTTTTTCCAGTCATTAGAAACAGTATAATTGCTTTTTATAGTGATTTGGCATGTGCTGTGTTCTCTTGTACATAAATACCAAATTATTCAGCAGCATGATAGCAGAGATGCTAGAATTTCACGACTCCAACTTCCAGTTCTTGTATGAAGATTGTGGATTCTGAGGTTAGATCATTGGATCTATACTAATAAAGACATTTGATCCTGGTAGATGCTATCCTGTAGTAGTTCCTAGGTAGAATTAAGATTTCTTATTTCAGTTGCCTTAGGGCTATAGGATGGAGAAATAGATATCCCTTATCAGACATTCGGGGAGCTTGTGCTCCTTCTTTCATTTCCCTTCCAGTTTCACGTCACCAACCACTTATATATTTATGGCATATTTTTCTCAGCGGATAAGGCTCAAGAGAAGGACATGGATATGGTGGATGAGATTGAGATGCTACCCAATATTGTTAAAGTCGACAATGAGATTTCCAGCCCATCATCTCTACAGCATTCTGAGGGAGACATGATGAAGACCATAAAGAGCTTACAATCTTCTGAAGTAGTGCATGAATCCTCAGCCAAAGAGTGTCCTTCTTCCCCAGAATCCTCACGGCTTGACCTCTCTGCCCATTCAGTTTCAGAGCTGAACAAGGCAAAGACTCCTGAGGCAAGCAGTTATCTGCTTCATGACAGAATCAGGGTTTATACAAGCTTCCCAGATCATTCATTCCCTGAGGGAATAACTGTTCTGCCTATTAGGGAGAACAGGTGGGTTGCAGTGAGTCTGGAATTCCCAAATGAGAAACATAACTGATGAATGATCACAAGAGCTCTTTATGCGGACATGTTCTACTCAGCCAGTGGTTTGTGGATTAGAATCTCCAGAACTTATGCAGTTGGCTTTTTAGCTCTTTCTATTTTTACAGAGGTTTCTTAAGCATATGAAATACATGAATTTTACTGTGATGTTTGAGAATCCCGTTTGGCCGTAATAGTGCCTTTCGCCATAATAGTGGTGTCAGCTATCCCTGAGGACAACTATTAAAGACTTTAAAGCGTTTTACCATATATAGATATTTGTTGGTAAAGAATTTAGGAGTTATTTTCGCAATGTATTGCCTTTGGTCATACTGAATACAGATCATGCTCGTGAAACTTCATAATAAATTTGGTGTGTTGGTATCAAGGGGATCAAATCAATCATTAAAAAAAAAAAAAAACGTAGAAATGTGCTTGTCACATTTGGGATGTGATCCATCAGCAAACCCAACAGACCTAGCAATGCGAGGCCATTTCCATTCAAAGTGACAGAGAACCTAAATGCTCTCTTCTTCTGATATATATGTGGACGTGTGGACTGTTGAAGGCAAAAATAGTAAATTGATAGAGCTTTGCTCATGGAGTTTTCTCCCTTCTGCCAAAAAGTGAGTCCATTTAATAGGAGTTATCCTGATTCTAGTCTCACGTGTCAGGACATAAACTGGGCCTTCATCCTAATTGCCCATCTCCCATATATAATGATGCTGGGTACATTTTACTGGAAAATTCTTGATACTTTTATCTATTTAGTCTCTCATATTTATTATTTTTTCTCAAACTAATTTATCTAACTTACAAAATTGATATCATCTAATGTTATACAAGAAGTATTTTAGAAAAATCATGTTATCTTAATCGATATATATTTGACTTTCTTAATTTACTCAAATTAATTAAGTAACTCTTATTCTAAAGATCAGAGAGCATATTTTTGTATTGTGAAGTGAGTAAATTTAAACTGATACACAAATTGATGACCTTTTTTTTTTTAACCCGCATCAAGTAAGATGTTAAAATAGTAAATCAAGGAAATGTGACAAGAGGAATAGGCCATATTTTACATAACATGGAGTTACAAATTTGGGGAAAAGAAGTACAGCTGAGCGCCTGAGCTAAGTTTCAACTGTCAAAAGTCTTTATTTTTGAATAATTAAAACTTTTTAATCATCTTATTTATTTTACTGGATTTATTCATTTCTTGTGTGCCCTATGCATTTGGCTGTGTGTATGCTGCAAATGAAATACATAAGCGTGATCAGGAAGCTGTTCACAACTCTTGTTCTTCTTCTGATCCTTCGAGAGATGGTTTGAGTGCATTCTTAAGGTATAGCACAAATGCCACAACCAACAATACAACCAGTAGGTTCATCAAATACTTCATTTTCTTCAACCTTGCCACAAAATCACCAAGAGCTTCCCTATATTTATAAGAATCCTTCTGTTCATCAGCAGGTAATGGTGGCCTTAAACTGAGAGTGAAATCTAGAAGATGAGTCTGAAATCTCGAAAATTTCTTGGTTCTTTGCTTTCCATCAGGAGCTTCTGTTACTGCTTCTGCTGCTGCAGGAGGTTCCTTCTCTTTCTGTTTGGCTGCTGGTATTTTCCCGGAAACTTCATCTGCACTCTTTGCTTTTGCTTGATCCTCTTGGTGAACAGCTTTTTTCTCACCATCAACCCCATTTTTTATTTTCCCCTTTTCCTTTGTAAAATCATCACTTGCAGCTGCAGGTTCCTTTTCTTTCTTGTTGGTTTTCCCAGAATCTTCTTCATCACCACTCTTGGCTTTTTCTTGATCCTCTTGATGAACAGCGTCTTTCTCACTAACCCCACCATCAGTTTTTCCCGTTTCCTTTGTAAGATCATCTCCGCTTGCAGCTGATTCCAGATCCTCTTCTGGGGATTCGTCAGAGACTTGATCACCATCACTCGTTGGCTTTGCTTGATCCTCACCATTTTTCTCAGCATCGCCATTATCTCTTTCTGGGGACTTGGCAGATGGAGTTTTGAGTTTGGAAAACTTGATTTTCAGAGTTCCGGCTTCAAACTTGGCGGTGATGTCGTTGGGGTCACAATCAGAAGGAAGCGAGAATTCCTTATAAACACGACGCCATCTGTTCCCACCGATCTGTCGTTGAGCACTGATCTTTAAGATCGGAGCCGAAGTCACTTGAACCTTCAATTGATCCCTTCTAAATCCTATTCATGACTTGAAATTATTTAGATATCAAAAAATCCATGATCCGTATATGAAAATGAGAATTACTGTATATAGTGAACCCAAAAAAAAAGGGTTCAAAAATCAATACATTAATTACAGAATGATTCAAAGATAATATGAATTACAGACATGCATGAATAATTTAGTTTCCAACGTTATTATTACCTGGGAGCATAACAACGAGGACGTGAAAATCATCATCAGTATGCCATTCAAAAAATGGTTCAATATCTTCATACACAACATTATATGCTGCAGCAAATTCAGCCTTGGAATCCATGGACTGTCTTCTTCCTCGTCTTCTTCTTCTTCTTCTTAGGGTTTTAGGAACTGCACCTATTAGCTTGCATGGGAGAGTTTTATCTGAAGGTTTTTATATGAATGGAAATGAGGCTTGGAAAATATAAATATAATATAGTTCGGTATTACTTTTCTTTTGGTGCAAAACTCCAGAGATGTGTGGGTGCAAGAAAAATAAATATACCTTAATTGGAGAATCAATATACTTCAATTCCCACAAAAACACACAGAATTTTAGCCTTTGATGAAAGCAAAATCAATAATGTTCAGTTTTCTATTAATTCCTGCATGTGCATGCAAATCTCTTTTCTTTCTTTCATTTTCCTTTGGATTCCTTGCAACAAGCATGCATTCACACTGCTTTACATATACAATATCTTGATTTACATTTTCTGTCTCTATTTTCGTACTTTTTTTAAAAAAAAAAAAGTGAATTGGATCAGGGAGATTGATTAAAAAATGCGTGGATGGTTATGTGCCCATTATTTTAATCAAAATTAGCTAAGCCACCACTAGTTAAAAAAACATTAATAAAGTGATGTTTTTACATTGGTTGTTGTGAGAATTTGTAGAGGTGTAGAAATACCAATTAAGAAATGAGCTTCACTTTTTACGGCTTTAGTTATGTTGATATTAATATTGATATTCATTTCTTAGATTTATATTATTTTTCTTTTATAATTAATACCAAATGATTGTTTAGCTGATATAGAGCGAGTCACTTTGAAAATAAGAAAAATTATACTAGATGTATCTATACTTTCTTTCAAGTTTTAATTTGATACCTATGTTTTTTTTTCTCATATTTAAATCATTTAATTTTACTTTTTTTAGTAATATTAGCTCTTGTAATTTTGTTCTATTAACATTTTTAGTTTCTATACAAGGCTTAATGATATTAATAGAGCAAGATTAAAAATTTAATTAAGAAAAAAACACATAGGTACCAAATTAAAAATTAAAAAAAAGTGTGTGGGACCTCCAAAATGGTTTTTCCTTGAAAATATAAACAATCAATTAAATTTAGTAGAGAAATAAATAGTATTCATATAATTTTCCGAAAATGTATTTCTAATAAGAATTAGCATTATTTGTACTATGTTCTCGAATCAATCACATAACATTTTTTTTTTTTTTTTATGTTTTAGGTAGGATTTGTTCTTTCATTTTTTTTTCCTAATGCACCTTTATTTCGAGCATGCATTTACAGTACTTTACATGCACAATCTTGATTTACTTTTTCTGTGACCTTTTTCCGAACTTCTTTAAGAAAAACAAAATGTAAATTAGACATGTCTTTATTATTTTAATCAAAATTTGGTAAGCTACTGGTAAAATTAAAAGCATTAGTATTTTATAAATAAGATGCAGGATTGGTGTCTTTCTACGTAGGTTCCAATAGTAACTAGTATAAAATACCTATAAAAAACGAGCTTCACTTTTCACTGCTTATTTTAGTTCTTAGATTTTATAGTTATGTTAATACTAATATTGATATTGATTTCTTATATGAATAGACGTACTTTTGAAAATATAAATAACCAATTAAATATATGATTTTTATTAGAAAAATAATCAGTATTTACATTATTTTCTTAAAATATATTTTTAACAAGAATTATCATTATTTTTATTTCTTCTCGCATAAATTACATAGCCTTCTCTGTTTTTGTAGGTAGAATAGTTCTTCTAAATAATGCTTGCCCTTTAAACCAAAAAATAATTTCTACGTAATTTAATATTAATTATTTAACAAAGTTGTACTTAATTTAATTATTAAGTGAAAAAACATATAATTAAGTTAGTAGAGGATATATTCTGGTAACAAATAAAATCATACTAATAATCAATTATCAATTAATGTTACAAAAAGCGGACCGATTATTGAACAGGATTATTGTCCTTTCCCCCCCCCCCGGCCATCAGGACTATTGATCAAACGGTAGTTGAAGTAATGATTAAATTAATATGAGAGTTTGTGATGGGTTAAAATATTAAAATTATTAGTAAGTATTGAGAACAACCAACCAATATTAATCCAAATAGAAGGGATTAGCCGCTTAAGTATATATGATGCGACCAATATAATTAACAGTGTTAAGATTAAAGAAATGGGAAAAAATCCTTTATAAAATTAAGAGATTAAGATGACTAATATGCATTTTTGCCCTAAATTTATTTAAACACACTTTAATGATTAACAGTATTTAGACCCATAAATATGTTTAGATCTGATATAGTGATATAATATCAGAAAATGTATTAGCTAGAATTCATATTTGCATTTTTTACAGTTTATGTGATTGTGGAAATTTTAAATATCACTCAAGAATAAGACTAATTCGCGAATAATAACATATTGAAAGACCAGCTATCTATAAAACATAAGAATTTCATCAGGAAACACATGTTAATAATATTTACATTGATATTAATTAATTAATGTCACATTTGATTTTCACCCACAAATTTGAAGAGAACACATGAAATTAAAGTATTGATGATATATTTTTACACATCGAAAAGCAGCTGTTGGATATCATCAGATGTTCCAAGAGATGATGAATAATCCTGCATCGCATTATTTCTAATCCCAATCCCAATCACCAAAACCAGCATTAATAAGGCCACAATAAACCCAACCCATTTCCACACTTGTTTCTTATTATCATTACTGTCTTCTTCCTCCTTCTTCTTCATCACTGTTTTTGGAAGCTTGATGTATAGCTTCCCATCTTCAAACCTGGCAGATATCAGATTGATGTTTATATCTCTAGGAACTGAAAATTCTCTGTAGAAACGACGTCGAACTGATTTTTTGTCCTCCAGTTTCTGTTCACCACTCACCTTCAGGATACGGTTTGTGGCTATTTGAACCTTCATTTCCTCTCTCCTAAATCCTGCATTATTGTTTTACTTTCAATTCATCAAGACCTTCAACATGCAATTTCATTTTCTTATCCAACTCAAAAACTAAGGTTTGTTTCAATGAAACAGCTTCAAAATATAGTGAAAGGAAAAAGGGATATATGCAGAACCTGAAAGCAAAACAACAAGGGTGTCACTTTCTTCTTCACGAACCCAATTAAAAGCTGGTTCAAAATCTTCATATAAAATCTCTTTCTTCGCTTTTGAACTCATGATGATTTGTATGTTCCTCTTCCTTTGTTCCTCTACCTTTATATGTGACTATTGGAGATTGAAAGCTCTCTCTCTAGATATATACATGCTTTGATCTGTTCTTGCCCCATCTGCTTGCGTTTTCTTTGAACTTAGGTCTCGTCCTTTTCGTAGAGACATGGTTTTGGGTTTCAGAAATTTGGTTCCCTGATGCACCTAACCAGATGTGGGAGAAAACTTCCGTCATTGGAAATGCTTATTCTCCTTCTTTCTCCCTCTGTCTCTCTCCAATGACTTTCTCCTTCAAACTCTCTCGATTCTTTCTTCCATATAATATTCCCAATCACTTGCAAACGTAAAGGCTAGGTAAATAATTTTAAAAAATTAGTTAAGAAAATTATTTGAGCTAGTAAGATATTTGTTAAAAAAATTAATTTGGCAAGAAAAATTTGTAAAAATAGTGTATTACTTTCTTAAAATACCTCTTTAATTGTTTGTATCGAAAACTACTCATATAATTTTCCTTTTAATTTATTTGACTGAACAATAGGGGTTGGGGTGCCCACAAACCTCCAACAAGGATTGTTTTCCTTTTTTATAAATGGGGGCATTTTGGTAATTTTGCTGGAATTTTATAATTTCAATTTATTTTACTGTCTCTGATTATGTTACTTAGAGAATTGAAACTGGACTTTTATAATTTTCAAGGTCTTTATTTTTCTAGATATTAAGTCTAGAGATGCGTAAAAGGCTTTTTTTTTCAATTTAGAATCCTATTAAAAAAAATTAAAATCACTAAATCTCAAATCAAGTTTTGTTCTAACATTTTAATAGGTTTTAATAACACTAAATTTACAAAATATCAATAACAACATATTTTTGTAAGAATTCTTTATTTAAAATTTGATAACTTCAAATTTTTTTTATGAGATTTTTGTTTGCTTATATTAAAGTGAACTTTAATTAGGGCCCTCAGTTGACCATGTTAAGGAGAGGAGGGGACCATATGATGGGACGTTGAAAAAAGTGCAATGACGAGGCCAATCCAAAACCGCTCACTCACACGTGGCTTTCAAAGCCATTATTGTATGCTCTGTCTGTGGCAGTTAGTAGTAGGAATCCTACGGGGGAGGGGAATTGCTTGACGGTGACATGATCTATCCTTAGATTTTTGCGGCATTCGGCACTTTTCCTCCTGAACTTCACTTGAGTGCTGTGGAGAAATGGCTGCGATCAACGGAACAACGCCGGCGAATCTGGTTTTTGCTGTTAATGGAGTGAGGTTTGAGCTCTCTGAGCTTGACCCCTCAACCACTTTGCTTGAGTTCCTCCGTAGTCGGACCCGCTTCAAGAGCGTCAAGCTTGGCTGTGGTGAAGGTCAGTTGGTTTGCTCCTCTCTGTGTTTTGAACTTTATCAGGTTTGTGTTCCTTGTGGTAACTCTCTTCGGAAGTTTCCTTCTGCTTTATTCTTTGCGATTTTCTCGTTCTCCTCTTGTATTCTGTTATTTGACGCTGACTGTAGGGAATTTAATGATCTCCTCTCTGTCCGTTTTGGGTTTCAACTTTCAGTGTTAATAATAGTTAATTGTTTTCTTTAACGTGAGTTCAGTCAGCAATCTTTTGTTTCCAAACGTAATCAAGCCCGAAAATACAGTATTCTGTGTATTTTAAAATACAATTTTAATTAATAGTCAATGAATGCTGATAGATGATTTGGTTTTATATTGATGTCAAATGAATAATAAATAGATGGATACAAAATGAATAGTGATAGATTACCCAGTATATTGATTGTATAACCTTTTATTAATCGGACATTGAAATCGTATGATACTCTTGGATACTAAAACGTGGTTCACTGCGATCATTGTTCGGGAAACTAGGATATAATTCCAGCACTGGTTCAATGGTTTTTTATTTTGCCAAGTTTCTTGTAAAATAGAGGTTATAAGAAAAACTTTGAGGAGCATTAAGGACAAAGGTGGGCTCTTCTAGTCGTATTGATGTGTGTTTCATCTATGTGTTGGTTTTGTCTCATTTGCAATCTTTCTTCTTCTTACTTCATGTGTTACCATAATTGGTTTCAGGTGGTTGTGGTGCCTGTGTTGTTTTAATCTCCAAATATGATCCTGTGCTTGAACAAGTAATTGACTTTACGGCAAGTTCTTGTCTCACCCTACTTTGCAGCATACATGGGTGTTCAATAACAACAAGTGAAGGCTTTGGAAATAGTAAAGAGGGATTTCATCCAATTCATGAAAGATTTTCAGGATTCCATGCCACCCAATGCGGCTTTTGCACTCCTGGGATCTGTGTTTCTCTCTTTGGGGCTCTGGTCAATGCTGAAAAGACCAAACGCCCAGATCCTCCTTCTGGGTTTTCAAAAATGTCAGTTGCTGAGGCTGAAAAGGCTGTTTCAGGCAATCTTTGTCGTTGCACAGGCTATCGGTCAATTGCTGATGCCTGCAAAAGCTTTGCAGCTGATGTTGATATGGAGGATTTAGGGTTGAACTCATTCTGGAAAATGGGAGAAAGAAAGGACATCAAGCTTAGTAGGTTGCCTCAATATGACCATAACCATAAAAATAAGACATTTCCAATGTTTTTGAAGAATGAAATCAAGCCTGATGTGTTCTTATTTTCTAAAAGACAAAGTTGGCACAATCCTGCTAGTCTAGAGGAACTTCAGACTTTATTATTGGAAACAAACCAGGTTGTTGGAACCCAGATAAAACTAGTTGTTGGTAATACTGGTATGGGTTATTACGGAGATATAGATGACTTTGATATTTACATTGATTTAAGTGGCATTTCAGAGCTCTCAAAGGTCAGAAAGGATGCATCAGGGGTTGAAATTGGAGCAGCAGTCACAATAGCTAAAGCCATTGAAGCTCTAAAGCAAGAGGGAGAAAGTGAATTTCTTGAGGAGTTTGAGATGATACTTGACAAAATTGCTGATCATATGAGCAAAATTGCATCAGGGTTTATTCGCAACACAGCCAGTGTAGGTGGCAATTTAGTAATGGCACAAAAGAAAAATTTTCCTTCAGATATTGCCACGATACTTCTCGCTGTGGATGCAGTGGTACGTATATGGAGTGGTGGACATTTTGAATGGCTTTCGTTAGAGGAGTTCCTGGAAGGAACACCGTTAGGTTGGGGGAGTGTACTTCTAAGTGTCAAAATCCCAAGGTGGGAATCGATTAAAATTACTTCTTCAGAATGCAGAAGTAAATTCTTCTTTGAAACATTCCGAGCTGCTCCTCGACCCCTTGGAAATGCCTTGCCCTATTTAAGTGCTGCTTTCTTGGCCGAGGTTTCTCCATGCAATGATTCTGTTGGGACCAGGATCAATTCCTGTAGGTTGTCTCTTGGAACCTGTGGAATTAAACATGCAATTAGAGCGAAAATTGTTGAGGAACTACTAGTAGGGAAGCTGCTAGATCTTAGGATTTTATATGAAGCCGTCATATTGCTTAAGACTACTGTGGTACCTGAAGATGCAACCTCAAGGGCTGCTTATCAGTCAAGCTTGGCAGCTGGTTTTCTTTATGAGTTCTTTAATCCCTTCATTGACAACTCTGTTGAAATCTTCAATAGATACTTTAATGGATACTCTTGCTCTTCTTTTGCAAGGGCCTCTGAAATGAAAGAGAACCAGATGCTTGTCCATCATGATATAATTCCAACTTTACTTTCATCTGGAAAGCAAGTCCTTCAATTAGGTAGTGAGTATTCTCCCATTGGTGAGCCAGCTATGAAATCCGGTGCTGCATTACAAGCTTCAGGTTTGCTTTCTGCCATAAACTGTTACTTTAACTTACTGAAGGCAACCGCTTTCTTGGAATGTTCAAAGTAGCAAACAACTTCCTTCAAATTTTAATTCTCACAAAAAAAAAATCAAATTTTAATTTATACAAGATGCAATTTACTGTGAAGAAACTTCATCATTTGCTTTGCCATGGTCAAATTTATGTTTCTATTACTGGGTAGTTCCGTAGTTAGATGCTTTTACTTCTCAAATACATGATAACTTGTTGTCCAAAGATTATCCATCTGTCTCTTCCTTTCTCTCGGCTTGAAGTGGACTGTGAGTCATATTTTGGTATCCCATCACTGGTTACCACCTACCTGAAGTCAAATTCACCAAAATTGAAAAACCTCCATCCAATTCTCTAATTGATCTTGGATTCATAATTTGCATATCACTGACGCTGACATCAGCTTGCTAAAGTAAGTCAAGACAATAGTGTTTGAAAACTCGCTTCTTATTTGCCTGGATCCTATTAATTGCGGACCCATTTTTCTATCCTACTGCCGTTGATTACGATCTGGGAAAAGCATGATAGTTTTGATATGAAGTTGACATATTTCTAATAAGGTATAATGCTTTTCACTGTTCTGTCTGGTTAACTATGTTTTCCCCCCCCCCCTCTCTCTTTTTTTTTTGCCTCCTGTCCTGTATTTATATTTGGTGTTGTCATCTCTGTTTAGTAAGAGATATGTATTTTACAAATAAATCATTTAGGTGAGGCTGTGTTTGTGGATGACATTCCTTCACCGACAAATTGCCTACATGGAGCCTATATATATAGCACAAGGCCTTTGGCGCGGGTAAAGAGTATAAAGATAAATCCTGAATTGCATCTGGATAGAGGGAGGTCAATTATTTCAAAGCAAGACATTCCTGAAAGTGGGGAGAACATTGGTTCGATGACTATATTTGGTGTCGAACCTTTATTTGCAGACAGGATCACTAGATGTGCTGGTGAACGTCTTGCTGTTGTGGTGAGTTCCTAAATTCCTCATTTTAGTCCATTACCATGTGAGCTTTTCTTTCAGTTATTGTGAAAGTAAAGTACGGCATGAATGCCTTCCATTTTAGTTACTGAATGACTTCTTTAGTTGGCAGATACACAGAAACTCGCAGATATTGCTGCAAAGACTGCAGTTGTTGATTATGAATATGAGGATCTTGAGTCACCTATTCTTTCTGTGGAAGAAGCAGTAGAAAGATCTAGCCTTTTTGAAGTTCCACCTTTCTTATATCCACAGCATGTTGGCGAGCTATCAAAAGGAATGGCTGAATCAGATCACAAGATTCTTTCTGCTGAGGTACATGGAATATTATGTATGTATATTATTGCCGTTTGTTCTCGTTCCACCTCTCATTTGACTTCCTTGTGGTCTTCACTATTTCTGCTTGATTTTGAGACAGCTGAAAAATGATAGATACTGAGAAGCTTTTGTTTGATCAATCTTATTTATTCTCACTATAAAATTAAAAGTACACCTTTTTTGTGAATATTTTGAAACTTCTGGATCTCTTTTGATATCTGAATGATGTGAAAACCAGATCAAACTTGGATCTCAGTACTATTTCTATTTGGAGACCCAAACTGCACTTGCTGTACCTGATGAAGACAACTGTATGGTGGTTTACAGTTCTTCTCAATGCCCTGAGTTTACCCATTCTACTATAGCAAGATGCCTTGGTGTTCCTGAGCATAATGTTCGTGTAGTTACAAGAAGGGTTGGGGGAGGTTTTGGTGGAAAGGCCATAAAATCTGTACCTGTAAGTATCCTGTGGCATTTTATTGCTTGACATTCTTACTGATTTATTGTTACATCTAGTTTTGTTTTCTTGTCTGAAGATACTAGTTTAGAATGAGCAAATTTTTCTACATTTTAGAGTCAATGAAAAATTTAGAAGACAAGATGATTTGGTTCTTATTTTCTCAGGGTTTGAAAAGCCTCCGGTGAATCTCTCGTTGAGGAGGAATAGCAAGGATGATAATAATAAGTGAATTAGTTACATATATTTTTTCTAAGAAAAAAACTATTAGCTTTTTTATATTGTTGGTTATCATCTCTTTTTCATAGGTATAAGGTTGAGTGAGATTGGCCTAAAGGGAAAAGAGTCCTATCACAAACCGATATTTGATGAAAGCTGCTAGCAAATGTGAATAGTTATGAGTGGGATGCAAAACTTCTTATCTCTGTAACATAATGTTAGATATCATCACCTTTTTTTCTGTGACATCATATATTTTTCAGTTGTTAATGGAGTTTTGTAGCACACGCCATACTATGTTGTGCTGTGATCTCCTGTAGACATAGCATAATGCAGTGGTTCATGCTTGATGCTGAAATATCAAATCAGTATAAGATCTTGACTCTCATGTATAATTCCTTTTGGGGTATGTTCTGGTTGGGGATAATGAAGGAAAGGAAGTTTTCATTGAAACCTCTCCCTTGTTTTGTAGTTTATCATTAACTGGGTGGTAGATCCAAAGATTTTCAACCAAGCTTCCAAAATCCTTAAAAGTCCTCCCTCCTTTATAATCCTGAGTTCCTCCAATTTTTGGAGATTTTGAAAGAGAAATTATGAACCAGTTATCATGTTATGCATTATTTCTTCTTGTTGCTTGATATTATTAAACAACAGTGTTTGAATCCTTTTAGTTCTATTACTCCATTAAATTTAGGCATTCACTGATTCACATAAGAAGTGGTATCATCATTCAACCATCCATTCCCCTCTCTTCTGTCCTTTCGTATGCTTGGACTCCTCCCCAGCTCCCAAAATACTTTTATATTCAAAATACTGCGTATATATGTGAAGAAATTTGACAGTGTATGTACGGTGTTTCTGTAATGAAGTAGTGCAAGCACTCATGCTCAGATGTTTCAGGTTGCTACAACATGTGCACTTGCAGCGCAGAAACTTAATCGCCCTGTCAGGATGTATCTGAACCGCAAAACAGATATGATGATGGCTGGAGGAAGGCATCCTATGAAGATAACTTATAGCGTTGGATTTAAGGATAATGGGAAAATTACTGCACTAGAACTTAAGATATTGATAGATGCAGGGATATATACAGATGTAAGTCCAATAATGCCACATAACATAGTTGGGGCACTTAAAAAGTATGACTGGGGTGCTCTATCTTTTGATATGAAGGTATGCAAAACAAATCGTCCTAGTAGATCTGCAATGCGAGGCCCTGGAGATGTCCAGGGATCTTTTATTGCTGAAGCTGTTATAGAACATGTGGCATCTACACTTTCAATGGATGTTGATCTTGTTCGAAGCATTAATCTTCATACATACAAAAGTCTTTATGCATTTTATGGGGGGTCTTCAGGTGAAGTTTTTGAGTATACCTTGCCTTCTATATGGAATAAGTTAGCTGTTTCTGCAACCTATGACAGGAGGACTGAAACGGTAAAAGAGTTTAACAAAACTAACATTTGGAAGAAAAGGGGCATATCTCGGGTACCAATTGTGCATCCAGTGAGTCAGAGGCCAACTCCTGGAAAGGCAAGTATTTTAAGGGATGGGTCCGTAGTTGTTGAAGTTGGAGGAATCGAACTAGGTCAGGGCCTCTGGACTAAAGTAAAACAAATGGCTGCTTTTGCTCTCAGTGCAATTCAATGTGATAACATTGGGAACCTTGTAGATAAAGTACGGGTTGTACAATCTGATACCTTAAGCATGATTCAAGGGGGATTTACTTCTGGGAGCACTACATCGGAGTCAAGCTGTGAGGCAGTTCGGCTTTGCTGCAATGTCTTGGTTGACAGGTTAAGGCCTCTCAAGGAAAAGCTGCAAAAGGAGATGGGTTCCATCGAGTGGGAGACACTTATTTTTCAGGTAGCCTTATTTTGATGATATTTTTTGATAGAAATGCAACTATATTTGCGCATTGCCCTTTACATAAGGAATTCAGAACATAATATGGATTTGCAATTGTAAAATACATAGAGAGAGAAACATATTTCTATGCCTGTTGACTTGTTTGCGTGAGATGCCTCCGTATCTATTTATATAAAGAAGGGCATGCACTATCTGTAGCACTACTTAGTACACTAAAGCACTTCACTAAAATCATATAACCCCAATGTGTTATTTCTTTAATCTGTAGTCCATACTATACTCTGATGGATAAATAAACAAAATTTTATGCCATGATAGAGGCAGTGCATCTATGCGGGTGAAGTTTCTGTTGGAGAAATTATGTCCTTCACATCATAATTAATGGAATTCATTATTGATTAAATGAAATAATTTTTCATTGGCTACTATTGTCCTCAGTGTCATTTGACAATAAAAATTTTTTGCTACAAATTCAGGCGTTTTGAACTTTTATGATATTTGTCATGTCAAATTGTCTGGAGAAAATTTAGTCCATAGATGATTGCATTGGTCTTGTACGCTTTATAGGAATTCTTTTGGATGTAAGTTTTATTGTTGGAGCCCTATAGAAATTGATAATACTAATATGTTGTTGAGGCTATAATTCCTTCTCTCAGCGGGGAAAAGTGATAGGAATTTACAAAAGCCACTGCTTACAGTAAGATAAACTGCTGCAACAATGCGAGGAGAAAGATTAAAAGGGAAAAGATAGAAATCCTCTTGCTTCCGTTTTTCTTTACGTATTCATGTAAGATTGATGTCTATGTTGAGGCTATTATATCGTGTCATGAACATGAAACAATCAAATGTAAACAGCTATTTAAGAGAGTCTAGATCTCCTAAAGTGGTTTTTCCTCCTAGAGAAACCTGATCTGATAATATTCAGCTTGTAGAAACCTTAGCAGAATAGTCAAATTATGATTCCTAGAACATAAAACCACTTTCTTCAATAGCAACTATATTAACACTTGTTTAATACGTAGTAGAATTATTCCAGTAATAACTGTACAGGTTTATTTCATACTCGTTCTACTACCATGAAGTTCCTTAGATTGCCTTCTTTCTCAACTATCCATATTGATAAACCATTTTTGTTGGTTGTGGGAATTGTGCAATTGTCTCTTTCAACTACCAAGTTGAAAGGCTTGCCTAATTTTGTTTTCCAATTCGTGTTGATACATATATCTTGGCATTATGTGAACACAATATGTCCTGTCTGGCATCTCTGTTTTTGCTCTCATCATATGCAATAAATGGCAATTTTAGATGCTACTCCCTCTATCTCATTTAATAAGCAATAACTACCATCTCCTTCTTGACCCTAAATATAAGCAACATTTGCACGTTGTCTTAAATTTTTGTAGTGAATTCCCTATTTTGCGCTTATTAATTACTTATTTTAATACTCAATATATTTATTATTTCATTTCCCAAACCATCATCCCTCCATCACATATTCTCTCTCTTCCATAATTCTTTTTATTATAAACTCTCTCTCCCCTATAAATAAGGGCATTTTAGAGGAAAAAAATTCTAATTTTTACACATTTATTGTCTTTAACTAATTTTAACTAACATTTTGATCTATGTCATAAACTTCAATGTTGCTCATAAAAAGGGACGGAGGGAGTAGTAATTTATGAGAACCTACCTAGCCCAATTTAATGAGGTTCATCTTCTTCAAGTAAACCAATGCAACGCCCCCTTGGTTTCCTATCTGACCATGTAGAATATACTTACCATGTTACCATTTATCAACTTGCAGGCACACTTGCAAGCTGTGAACTTATCAGCAACTTCTTTTTTTGTCCCTGGTATCACTTCCATGAATTACCTAAATTATGGCGCTGCTGTAAGTGAGGTGAGCCATAATGTTATATAAACCATATTACTTAACCAAATTGGTAATAATGCTGAGCTAAATGTTGGAGAATGTTTTTCAGGTGGAAATAAATCTTCTGACTGGAGCAACAACAGTTTTGCAAACAGATATCCTCTATGATTGTGGACAGAGTCTTAACCCTGCTGTGGATCTAGGACAGGTGATCTAGTACTCAATTTCAGCTGCAGTGTTCATTTATTCTGCTATTATCCTTGATGCCGTATATAGCTGCATAAATAAAATTCCCAAGTTTTTCATATGGAGTGCACAAGGGATAGGCCTATTTGTTTATTTAGAGCTGTCAGATTATTAAATTGTCTTATCTAACAAACTCTTGAAAAAAACTATTATTTCTGCTTTCAGATTGAAGGAGCTTTTGTCCAGGGGCTAGGGTTTTTTATGCTGGAAGAATATGGAACAAATCCTGATGGATTAGTGTTGGCAGATGGAACTTGGAACTACAAAATACCTACAATAGACACTATACCTAAACAGTTCAATGTAGAAATCCTCAACAGCGGACATCACAAAGAACGTATTCTTTCTTCGAAGGGTATGATCCATCATCCATCGGTTCTCAAAGTTTTCTCACATCTTCAAAATAGAACTCTATTTGATACTCTCCTGTTGCTTTCTTGCTCTTACCTTCGGTGATGCCGTTATTAGAAATTACTACTGTTTTGCAGTGGGAAAATAATAGATGGTGTGAATGGGGTAATAGTTAAAAGAGCATGACAAAATTAAGTTGTTGATTTCTTGAAACTCATTGATATAAGTTACGGCAGGGGTAGAGAAAATTCGGTATCTTGAGTCTGTCTTGGAGGCTTGTTGGTTTAATCTGTGTCTTCACATAAATTCCATGATTCTGTACTAGCTTTACGTATGAATGCAAGTACCTCATGGTGTGGAAGCTGAGGCATAGACTACATGCAAATTCCATGAGATTAATGTACGGCTACATTAATCATTTTATATTTTAAAAAGTATATTTCTTATTTTCTTCATTTCATTCTCTTTTATTCTGTATACCAAATGGAGTCTTATTTATTTATTTTGCTGCAGCTTCTGGTGAACCGCCATTGCTTCTAGCATCTTCAGTTCACTGTGCTACTAGAGCTGCCATTAAAGAGGCCAGAAAACAGCTTCTTTCATGGAGCAACTTGGATGCGTCTGATTATTTAACATTCCAGTTGGAGGTCCCAGCAACCATGCCTGTGGTAAAGCAACTTTGTGGACTTGACAATGTGGAAAGATACTTGAAGTGGAGATTGAGCAACAAGTGAAAAGATGTCTCCTGAAAAGAAACAATCTGAATGTTCTGCCTTAATAAAAATAATCGGAAATCTTGTATAATGCATCCCCACTTCCCAGATTGATGGAGATAAAAGAGAAGGTGGATGTCCAAGAATAAAGTTTAGCTCCCACTGCCAATGGCCTAGTGGCCTAATAGCATGAAAGGTCAAGAGTTCGGTTTCGATTATAACAGCAAGCAGTTAGTGCTTTCCTCTTCAATTAAAGTTAAGCTTCCACTGCTACCACTGCTTAAACTCTACCTCCGCCGTTTCCATGGCTTCCTTTGCCTTGAATCAAGTATATATTGTTTTTGTTTATTTTGATATTTTCGTAGTTGTTGCTAGTCCAGTACCATCCCCATCATCATATTTCTTAGGTTATCACTAAATATTATTATCATTATCATTAATATTCTTATAGTTATTTTATTAACTTGTTATTTTATCAGTATCATCACAATGAACGCAATTTAATTAGAGACCTTGTGAGGAGATATCCATAGGCTCTAAACATTTGTTCTATTTTTCCAATTTTATATATTATAGGGTATTGTACAATTTTTCTTACTTGGATGTTTTTATACACATTTCAACATGATTTAAATGTTAAAACGATGGAACGAGTCTTTTGAACAGAAATTTTATGTGCTCTTTCTATTAAAGCCTGGTTTGAGACCGAATCTTGGAATTGCATCAATTCTGTTTTGAACATGTGCCACGAAAGAAACTCTTCCAAAAGTACACTGACTTCGATACTCCCTCCGTCCTATGGTCAAAAAGTTAGTTAAAAATAATAAATAAATAGAAATTTAAAATTTTTTTTTTAAAATATCCTTATTTATGAGGGAGAGGAGGAGTATAAGAAAGAGAACAAGAAAAATATTATAATAAAGAGAATTGTGAAGAGAGAAAATGTGGATAGAGAGAGGATAGTTTGGGAAATGAAATAATAAATATATTGAGTATTAAAATAAGTAATTAATAGGAGTAAAATAGAAAATTTGCTAAAAAAAATTAAGACAACATATAAATGATACTTATATTTAAAAACAAGGTGATAGTAATTATTGCTTATAAAAAAAGATGGAAAGAGTACCACGAGTGGGTACTGGGTAGACTACTTGCAATTAATATCTATTTCAATTATTTCAATATTTTTTATTTAAAAAAGTAAAAAGAAAAAATTTAAAAAATCGCTTAATATTTTTTACTCTATACATTTTTTCCCAACAATTTTACGGTCGTTACTAACATCACCACCATCGCTATTATCATATTTTTTTATTTCTAAATTTATAATGAACAAACATTGAGAACACAATGACTGCAAATAAAAAAAGCCAAGGCATATTATGATCATTCCAGTCGTGAATCTTAAAATTGAAGCGTTCCTATACACGACAATGGCAACGACCTCCTCTAAAACGGGAGTGGAATGGAATGAATAATACATCGGGCAACCATAATATCTCGAAGGAGAAATCTCATATGAAGTGCTTAGTACTTCTTAGGTTGTGTAGTCAAGCCAAACCCAAATGGGAAGAGAGGATCATAATGCTTGTCACCAACATTCATCGGAAGTTGGTCCACTGTCTTGAACCAGGTTCTAGCCAGCTTCCCAGTGAACCCATAATCACCAAACAGAAGGTCTGCAACGCCTTGGCCTTCAGTCCCAGGAAGCCATGCAGCCACAAGAGCATCTATTTTTGACAGATATGGCTCTATCACAACTGGGCGCCCAGTGATGAGAACAACTATGCATTTGACAGACTCACAAACGTTGTTGATGGTGCTTGGACCTGGCTCTGCTATCGTCAGATTCAAACTGTCACCATATGTTTCTGCATAAGTGTGTTCCCCAACAACCACGATGGCGTGGGAAAACTTGTTGGACTTGAGAAAGTTTCCGTCCGGGTTCTCATTGTATACCACTTCTGTCTCGGAATCAACTGTTTGTTTCACGGCATCAAGAATTGTGGTACCTGCGCAGAAAATGCAGTTAATTAGTCAGTGATCAATAACCTACCAGAGGATACTGTTAGAATTTCAATTAGATATTATGAATGCTCTTCTTCATGTCAACCTTCACCAGTAGATGACAATGTTAAAGTTCTAATAGAACTATTTAGGGGCCTTCACTTGACCACTTGAACTTTCGAACTCAAATAATCATTGACATGGCATTAGAACTTTGATGGCCAAGTTGTCAGAGGTTTGATTCTTGGGGGCTTCCATCTCTTAAAATTAAATTTCAATGAAATGCATGGTAGGCTTAGCCTATGTCCAAACTTCAACTCCAAGCAAGATAGTATAGAGCTTTTCATTAAACATTCTAACGCTTTAAGTTGATATGATCCATGACAAAGGATTTAAAATTGCTAGTTTGGCATCTGAATAGTCGATAGAGACGACTCTGGCGATTTTATGTAATTGAATGCAATGATATCTTTGCTTCTTGGATCTTAGCTTTAACCAAAAGACAACAACAATAAACAAAGCATGACGACTTACCCACTGTGAGATTATTGCCACCAAGCCCCTGCCAGGTGATTGTCCATCCCCCACATTGATAGCCCAAGTTGTCAGCATGGCTTCCAGCAACTAATATTTTTCCAGTTTTCTTGGGTAGGGGAAGAACAGGCTTATCAGAAGATTTGCCATTCTTTAGCAACACAAGTGATTTCCTCACGGCTTCCCTAGCTAGCTCTCTATGTTCCTGTTAGGGACACAGTAAATGTCAACCAACAAGCTCATAGCCATTATCCACCATTTGTTGAAACAGCATCCTGAAGTTAAGAAATACCTTGCTACCCAGTTGGTTGGCCAGGCTTAAGTCAGCATGAGGATTCTCAAATAGACCCATGATAAATTTTACTTTCAAGATTCTACTCACGGCATCATCAATCCGACTCATGGGGATAAAGTTTTTCTTCACTAGATACGTTAGGTCATCAATGAACTCGGTGTAGTCGTAGGGAACCATGATCTGTAGAATATTAAGCATGTCAAATAAAAGTCTCCGCGTTACCAAAAGGAAAAAAGGAAGACTATTTTCGGTCTTTCTAAAATGATAATGATAATTACCATATCAATTCCGGCACTAACACCAGCTACAATGGAGTATGTGTAATTAGCATGAGGAGGTGAGGTAATCCTGTCAATACCCTGCCAATCTGATATGACAAATCCCTGTAATATGGCAGTAGCAAATCACGTTATCGTGCACCTTCATTGTCTGAATTTTTATGGGTAATAGTTACTTACAAGTGTGCCTTTACCCACAAAAATTCAAATTCAAATCTGAAACTTGTCACTTGTTTCATTTTTCCATGTATAACATTTTCATTATAGTGAACCATTACAAGCTACTCGAAATTCAGTACCCTGAACCGCAGTTTGTTCTTGAGGAGACCAGTGACAAGATCCTTATTAGCATGCATCTTCTTCCCGTTCCAGCTAGAATAGGAGATCATTACTGTTGAAACACCCTTGATGATGGAGTCAAGGTATGCTGGCATATGAATGCTGAGCAATCCATTGAAACTTATCAAAGTATTGTTCTCATTAATACCCTTGTTCGTTCCACCATCTCCCAAGAAGTGCTTGGCGCAGGCTGCAACCTTGTTCCTGATCAAAATTATAAGAAGGGGAATTATTATTTAAACTCTGAATGGATATGACTAATTAGAGATTTAGACAAAAGTTGGGAACTCCAAAAATTAAAAATTAAAAAAAAAATATTTCTCTACATGCAAACATGACGCTTATTGATTCATATTCAACTCAATTAGAAGTTACTTGTCATGCCAATGAGCTTATCGCCCCACCAGGCACCAGTCGTAGCTTTAAGATTGAAGGGACCTTTAACCATGTCCCTTGTCCACTCATTGCCAATTACCAAGGCCTTAAAATCCTCCTTTGAAAATTTTTTGGAAAAAAAGAAAAGAAAAGAAATATTCCCTGCAATCTCAAGCCAGAAACAAGTCTTACTTTCCAGCAACAAAGGGAACTCCCTTTCTGGAATTGCCAGGGATGTCTCCTTGCAAACCAGGTATAATTTCAGTCATTGTTCTGACGATGTTAGGGTCCTCACTGTAACTTTCATAGCATCGTCCCCATCTTGGATCTCTGCAAACCTGTCAATGAATGAACAAATAACAGATGAGGGTTTTTACTTGATTGATGCTTAACTTGATATGAATAGCAGAAGGCTTAGGTGCTGCTTACTGCAATGCATGGGGCAAAAGCATATTGTATTCCAGTAGCTCGAACTTCAAGGGCTGTTGCCTCTCCAATCTTTTTTATGAGAACGGGATCCCTGTTCAACGGTAGAATTCTAGTTAGAACTGTTACTGTCAGGAAGGATGCATGTGTTTGTAGATGGAGCAAAAGAAAAGTTCATTCTAAAGGACCTAAAAAGCCTCTCAACCATAGCCTTCTCTTATTTTATTTTATTTTTCTAAGTATAAGAGATAGAAAGCCCTTGGATTTTGGCCAAAACTAAATGACCTCTTCAATCAATTTTAAAGTGCATTCTCTCGCATTAAACTTGTAGCATTAGAAATTTTATTCCCAGAGTACTTGTCAGGCATAACTAGATGCACAATTGTTGTGCTTGAATTTCCCACTGATATTTTGTCCTAATGTCAACTTTATTGTTTCAATTTTGACTGCTCTCGTTTCCAAAGATGTATAGCTTCAATGAGATTGGAAAAGTTAGTTCTTATCACGATAAATAATTCAACAAAAATATCAAATTGTATGTTTACCCATCATTTCAGAAAATGAACACTTGCCTGGTAACTCCAAGCCCAACATTGTGAGGAAAAATGGTGGCATTGTAGACATTGTTGTGGCCATGAACTGCGTCTATTCCATAAATCATCGGAATCCCAAGGCGGGTAGACAAAGCTCCATTTTGGATGTCATTCACCATTTGGACCCATGTCTCAGGGGATGCCTGTGGGGCTGGAACACTCCCACCTCCGCTCAGCACACTCCCTGCAATCCACATCCACATGCATTTATAAAGCGATCATCATGAGGAAAATAATATTCCCACTAACCAAATTCATCACGCCCACAGAAGTATGCAACACATCATATTAGGAAACCTTTTCTACCCAATCGTCCTGGATGTCAATTAAGATTCAAATTTTATGGTATCTCATGCTATTCCAAATTTATGGGAATCTCACATGACACATCACACCCCTTTAGCTATATTAAATTATATAAGATGCCACTTGCATCATTTGTATGAAAATGTTGAGCTGCAATGCCAAACATGGGTATCTGAAATAGCGTTCTATCTTATACCATGAGATCTAAGATATCATTGAGCGTGAAATTTGATTAGAAATCTGAGGATATCTTACCTATGAAGTACTTCTTCATAACTTCATGTGTGGCATTAGTCCGTTCAATCTGAGTCATCTGTCCAATTTTTTCCTCTAGAGTCATTCGCTTTAGTAAATCGTTGACTCTAATATTTAGGGGCTGCTTTGGGTCTCTATACTTCAAGTATTCTGCTTCTGACATAGAAACAACGCAGAATAGTAGCAGAATACCCAGAATGCGTATCCAAGATCTCCCCATCATAAGAGAGCTGAATCTGTAAGAAAGATAAAAGTCGGAGATCATAAAAGAGAGAACAGAAAAAAGGGGGGGAAAAGATTTTGGAGAAATTTCTCAATGAATGAACGAATTGTCGAGTGCGCAAATGAAAGTATTTATAGTTTAAGCAGAGCAGGTAAAAAGAAAGATCAATAACTAAGCATCACAAAACTGAAACGTTTTGTGTTTATAACAACTCTTAGTCACCCTTATCCACTATTTCCGAATTTCATGATCTCACGGTGAAGAATGACCATAGTAAGTAAACTTCGTATAACCAGAACACGCTTATCTAACAGACAGGGTAAGGCAAATCATGAATCAAAATATCAAATAGTTGGAAGAGTTCAATATAAATAATGCATGAGAAACAGAGGTGCCGAAATCCCTTCACAGTGCGAATAACGCGCAAATCCTATCCCACCTCAAGAATCGGCATTAAAACTGAAAGAGAGAAGGGGGGGGGGGAAACTTGCAAGCCAATAATGAGTCCAATCTAAAGAATGATGAGACATATGGATTCCGAAATCTCTTCGGAACACGAATAACTTGTGAATGCAACTCCCATGTCAGTGAAACAGAGAGAAAAAAACACAAGGAATGAATCAAAACGAGCGAGTATGGAATGCAACCCACTTGCAGGACGGAGTTGCTCAAACTCAAAGCAGTCACTTTGAAGAAGAAATGCTTATCCCTGAACCTTCGAATGAAAAAGTGAAAGCCAGCGCAGAGCTTGGGTGGAAAAAATGCAGTGAGTAGATTTAGCTTAAGCATATGGCGACTGAGTATATAAAGAAAGAGGAAGCACAGTTATTACATCGTGGGGTGCAGTTTGCAGAGACCGGTCCCAGCTATGCTACTCAACCACAGCAACTTTTTTAATGTATTCTATATTATTTTTATTCTCCGACCCGGCGGCTACCAGCGTTCGCTTTGCTATAGAAGAATTTTTTATAATCTCATTCAAAAATTAAACAAATTAATATATACTACCTCTAGTCCTAAATATAAAAGCTAGTTAACTAATTTAAGTATATTAGGAATGTAAATTAAGGTATTTATTTGTAATACTCCTCCGGTCCTTAATATAAGACCTAATTGTTGAGTTAGTTTTGGTCTTAAATATAAGACTCATTTCTCGTATTTATCAATTTTCTCTAAATTTCCTCTAGAGATAGTCCCTCAACCATAATTAAGTAGAAGAGGGAAATGAAGTATTCAAAAAGATGATTATGGTGTTTTAGGAAAACATGTCACATTTCTTATAATTAACTAACTTACCTAACTTCCTTAATCTAATCAAATTAGTTAAATAGGTCTTATATTAAGGATCGAAGGAGTAAAAAGGTGTTGTCTTTCCTAAAATATCATTACTAATTAAGTTTATTGGCTAGAACTATCATTATTAGAAAGGCTATGTTTGAAAAAAAATTGAATAAATATGAGAGATAAAGTGGATTAAGATATTATATTTAGGACCAAAATAAAAGTTAAATAAGATCTTATATTAAGGATAGGAGGTAGTAATAAGAATATTTATTAGAAGAAATGGATGAAAAATTCCCTATCACAAAATTTTACGTCTTAAAAATACGTTAAATTTGTTTACGAGCCTATGTGTGCTATTGCTATATCTTTATGTTCTGTTTGGTACGAAGCATCAAAAATGGGAGATAGGGATTGAGATTGAAAGTGTGAAACTATATTAAAAAGGTGTTTAGTATGAGTAATTATATGATACTTTGGGACTAGACAAATTCATATATATGGGATTGGAGAATACTATGAAGGGATGTGGTATTCTTCAATCCTACCTACATGAGATTGCCTAATCGCATGTGATAAAAAATCACTCATGCTAAATATCTTTTTTTAATATATGTTTTCAACCTCAATCTCAATTCTTATTCTTCATTTTCAGTATCCCGTACCAAACGTAAGCTTAATGGCTAGCGGATGCAACTCTTCTTCAATCATAGCCTATTTTCAGCTATGTTCTTCAATCATAACTATGTTCTTTCCATTTTTTTTAAAAATAAAAATGGAATAATGGAATTGAAAACAAAAGGACGGTAGATAAACGGTAAATAATCTCATCCAATAATCAATCTGGAATTTCAGATCTGGCAAAAACAAAACACGGAGTTTCACCACACAAAGAAAATCATTATTTTCATTATATTATTAAATAACGAAAACAATTTTTCTATAATTTTCTTATGATATTATATTTTTTCACATCAAATAATTGATGGGAAATTTCTAATTAAATCAAGTATTTTAATAGGAGTATAGGACTGTTATTTAATTATAAAATAAAATGTAATAATATGTGAAACTTAAGGATTACCAATTATTCCTCGTGTTATATTTAATTATGAATAAATTGCCCTGAGAATTGAAAAAGCCGCCATCGTGATCTATCATTTTTAGGGGGGTTTTGGATCACGTGGCCGGTGGTCGACGCCCAAGAACGCGTTCTTTTGATTTAAACAAACTAACATATTTATATTAAGATGATTATTTTTATTTATTTTCACATGAAATTATTATTTTAACTTTTTAATTTTCTAACCAAAAAACATTTTGATTTTATCAACTCAAAAAAACTCGTGTCATTTATATTAACTTTTCTGGAGAATATTTATTTTCTCTTTAGCCAACAAAATGATCAATCTCCTCGAATGTCAATGTAACCAGTGTAATCCTTATATTTTATTTATTAGCATAATTTAATCCAATTAAATTGGCTTAGCTTAGAACTTCAAATTATTTGAATAAAAAAATACGATATTCCAATTATTAACTACAGAAACTGAAAAATAAAAAAACACTAAAAAATCGTGTATAATATCATTTGATGAAATAAAATAAAAGCACACTACTAGTTTTTGGTGTGCCTCCCCCCCCCCCTCCTGTTTGGTTGTACTCTGGTTTCTTCAAGTCAAACAGCGGTGGCAACCGGTAAATAAGGCAAACTAGTCTTCCGATATTTGAGGTTTTTTACTGTTAGATATGATATCTTCCATTATTCCTTTCTTTATCAAATTAGTTTCTGCCTCTGGTAAGTGCTATTAGCTAACTCATCAAGATTTGGTGTCAAGGCACATCTGTTACAAAGAATTGATAAAATGGTATCCTTTAGTCCTGGGTGACTGTTTATTGTTACATGAAGTATTCTTGTCCAATTTATATATTCTACCTTGGGTGCTTAATATGAAAATTATTATCTCTAGTTCTTAATGACTGTTTATTGTTACATGAAGTATTCTTGTCCAATTTATATATTCTACCTTGGGTGCTTAATATGAAAATTATTATCTCTAGTTCTTAATATAAGAGTTTAATTTAACATTCAATTTAGTTCTAAATATAAAATCTCAATCTATTTTATCTCTCATATTTATTCATTTTTTTTCAATGTGGTCCTTCTAATAGGTGCATATATTAAAAGTTTTATGAAATGGTAGTTCTAACTAAAATACATGATTAGTAAAGATATTTTAGTAAAGACAATACATATTTATTATAAATAACTAATTTAGCTGATTTTCTTAATATACTCAAATTAGTCAACTAGTTCTAGTGGTAATACTTAACTAATTTGAATAGATTAAGAAAGTTAGTTAAATTAGTTATTTATAACAAATATAAGTTGAATTTTCTAAAATATCTTTTTAATCATGACAACATTTAAATGAAAACCTTCTTAATATGTGTAGTAAATAAAAATATTTTAAAAAATAAATTTTAAATTTTAAAAAATAAAGTGGATTAAATTTTTAATTTTTTATACTACCTCTAGTCTTAATTATAAAACTTTATTTATGGATTACAAATGAGGTGATTGAAGGTACTATTTATATTTAGAATAAGAGGTAATTCAGCTTTTATTAGTAGGTTTGTCTTTTTTTTTTTTTTTGGCCAGCTCTTATCAATATGTTTGCACTAGTACGCATATAGTTGTTTCTGACTTCCTGTATACTATTACTCTTCCGATTCTAAATATAAGATTTTTATACATATTAGTATAAGGGTTTTATATTTAAGACTGGAGGAGTATTTTGCTTTTACTCCCTCCGTTCCTTATTATAGGAGACATTTGATGCTCATGGCATGTTTCTATATATAAGAGACACTTAAAAGTTGTCTCTACTTTTTTGTGTTGATTTCCTATTTTACCCATATTTATTGTCTCCAACTCACACTCTCTCTCCCTCCCACTTCTCTTTCTTTCAATAATTTAATTGTTCTCTCTCATGCTCTCTCTCCTTATTAATGAGGGCATTTTTGGAAAAAAATTATATTTTTCACACATTGATTGTTCTTAACTAATTTTAACTGCTTTTTTGATCAACGTAATTCGGTTATTCGTCTCTTATAATAAAGAACGGAGGGAGTAATGTATAACAGTTGTTTTATCAAAAAATGAAACAAAATAAAAACAATTATAGAAGCGGGTTGGGCGTTGTGCCATGAGCGTTTAGAAAAGTTGGCCGGGGGGGGCCCAAAAAAAAAGAGCCTTTAGAAAAAGTCAAAATTGGACCGTTGCCAGTTTGAATTGGAATCTGATTGCTTTATTTCCTATTTTGAAGCAGACTTCATCCCCAGATCTGCCTTCTGTTTTTAAATGCATGTTGTACCATTAAGAAATACAAACTCGTTCTTGCAACCAAAAGATATACAAACCCATTCTAGAAAATAAGGAATGTTTAAGTGAAAACTAAATCATGATTTAAAGAATAATTTCTGAAAAATAAAGTTTACGAATAGATTTTATGGGAAAAAAAGAAATGACTTTGATAGAGTGAGAATATTTCAATGATTGTTATTAAAATATTTTTTCATGTGTAAATTACTAAAAATGAAATAAGTATATAAAAATAGATTTTAATTTATATTTTTATTTGAAATAATAAATTTATATTTAATACTTAATAATAGCTCTACAGGAAACATATTAAAATAATAAATTTACATTTAATACTAGATAATAGCTCTAACAGGAAACATATTTGGAAAAAACATACAAACACGTCCTTACCAAAAACAAGAAAACATAAAAGAATAGTAGCATATGACGCACGAAACCCTGTTCCAGCTGGCCAGGTGAAAATACACATGTCCCAAGTTTGTTCAAACTTGACAATACATCAAGGTTGAGTGGTTGACTCCTTATTCTCTGCATATATGTGCAAACTAAATTTTTTTTTATTAAAGCAGTAGTTTATTGTCAATTTGATTTTTAAAAAAGTTAAATTGAGTGATATGAACTGTATTTGGATTGGATTTTATAAAATTTAGTTTGTAAAAATTAGACTGGTTAAAAAGTTGTTTGGGTTATGATTGAATAAAAATAAGTTTACTTTGTAAAATTACCAAAATGGATATGAGTTTTAATAAATAATGAAACATAATAATAAATAAATTTACATAATACAATAAATTTAAATTATTTTAATATGAAGAAGTAAAATTTAGTGACTGAAATATATTTTAAAACTTTAGAGATATCATAAAAAATTATTGAGATTATAAAGTGAAATATAATTTTAATTGATAAAATATTCTTAAATTTAAATTCATGAGAGAAAGAGAATAAAAATAATAATGAAATATTGGTGTAGATGAGAGGAGAATGAGAGCCTTTCAAATATGAATCTGAGAGCGTGAGAGAAAGAGAATAAAAATAATATGA